GCTTAGTTTAACATAGGACCCTATGGGAAATACATACAAATGTCTACTTTTAGAGTACCACTGAATGGAATGAAACCAAACATGGCATGAATGTTCCTTATGAAGTGCTGACCAAGTGTTGCTACTTTGTTGCCGATTTACTGTTCAAGATGGCCACCAGGATATTTTATTAAATAACGGGACCAATATTAATCAAAATTTGGCCTCAATCATTATTTGGGTATCTGTTATGATTTTTATCTATCTTTACATGATTTCTAAAACCAAAGTAGAGTCAGGTGAGCGACACAGGCTCTTGAGAGCCTCCAGTTTTATTTACTTATACAGGAAAATTAATTTGGCAGTAAAATTTTATGGATGTAAGATGTTTTGGCCACACTGCCACTGTGGCTATAGTACTTTCCGCCACATTTGTTTCGTACACACTTTGTACAGTACTTTTGGACATGGTTTTTTTTTTTTATCATGTTTATAAAGGGAGGAAAATATAATTGTTTCTACAAAAAATCAGCTTTTAATATAAGTAATAAATTCATATTTTCTTCTTTTCTTGAATTTCCCTTTACTTCATAGATGTAATGGAGTGTTTAATTGTCTGTCATAAATAGTTGTCTTTACTATTCATTTAAGGAATGACTGTAATATTTTTTCTGTCTATGAAGAAATAACATCAAAAATGTGGTGCACACTGAATAACCCGCATAGCGGGTTATTTTAAAGTGTGCACCACATTTTTTATGTTATTTCGAATAGACAGAAAAAATATTACAGTCATTTCTTAAATTCCATTTTAAACCGGAGTAAACCATTAAAAAACGTTGATGACGTCACAGTCACATGACAAAATTATGTCTATGAGCTGATAAACAAAACAACTTCAGCCAATCAGAAGACGCGTTACATCCAAAATTAAATTATGAAAGTATAAATTCATGGACAATGAAAAATCTCATTTGTCTGTTATCTTCAAAATACTGCTAATCAACGAGTCTCCATGGAGCAATTTTTGAAGACCTTGCACACTGTTCATAGTACATTTTTAGCTCACCAGGGCCCAAAGGGCCCCATGTGAGCTTATGCCATCACTTGGCATCCGTTCGTCCGTTGTCTGTTGTCGTCGTCTGTCGTCGTAAACTATTTAAAAAATCATCTCCTCTGAAACTACTGGGCCAATTACCTTCAAACTTTAACTAAATGTTCCTTAGGGTATCTAGTTTATAAATTGTATCCGAAGTTTTGATCCATCGACAAACACGGCCGCCATGGCTAAAAATAGAACATTGGGTTCAAATGCAGTTTTTTTTATACGACCGCAAAAAAATTTTTGTGGTCGTATATTGGTATGACGTTGGCGTCGTCGTCGTCCGGCGTCGTCCGAAGACACATTGGTTTTCGCACTCTAACTTTAGTTTAAGTGAATGGATCTCTATGAAATTTTACCACAAGGTTCAATACCACAAAAGGAAGGTTGGGATTGATTTTGGGGGTTATGGTACCAACAGTTAAGGAATTAGGGGCCAAAAAAGGTCCAAAAATAAGCATTTTTGTAACTTCCAGACATAACTTGTGTGTTAGTGTATGGATCTCTCTGACATTGTACCACAAGGTTCCATATCACAAAAGGAATGCTGGGATTGATTTTGGGGGTAATTGCCTCAAAATTTTAGGAATTAGGGGCCAAAAAAGGGGCAAAAAACAAGCATTTTTCTAGTTTCATACAATAACTTGTGTGTAAGAGTATGGATCTTTCTGAAATTGTACTACAAGGTTCCATATCACAAAGGGAAAGCTGGAATTGAGTTTGGGGGTAATTGCCGAAACGTTTAGGAATTGGGGGCCAAAAAGGGGCCAAAAATAAGCATTTTTCTAGTTTCCAGACAATAACTTGTGTTCAAGTGTATGGATCTCTCTGAAATTGTACTGCAACGTACCATACCACAAAGGGAATGCTGGGATTGATGATGGGGGTAATTGCCTCAATATTTTAGGAATTAGGGGCCAAAAAGGGGCAAAAAACAAGCATTTTTCTAGTTTCAGGACAATAACTTGTGTGTAAGTGTATGGATCTTTCTGAAATTGTACTACAAGGTTCCATATCACAAAGGGAAAGCTGGGTTTGAGTTTGGGGGTAATTGCCCTAAACGTTTAGGAATTTGGGGCCAAAAAGGGGCCAAAAAACACATTTTCCTAGTTTCCAGACAATAACTTGTGTTCAAGTGTATGGATCTCTCTGAAATTGTACCGCAAGGTACCATACCACAAAGGGAAGGCTGGGATTAAGTTTGGGGGTGATGAATCATAAGGGGGTTCAAAAAATTGGGGGGGAGGATTTTTTTTTTTTTCCTTTTTTTTCTTTTTTTCCTTTTTTTTTTCTTTTAAAATTTTCCATTTTAAGTTGGTTATTTCTGATTTATATTTAAAAGCAAATAATAATGATATGGTAGGAGGTACACACCAAACAGGATGTGTAAATTATTATATAATAAGTATTGTGCAATAGCAAGAAATTTTCAATTGCACAGTATTGCACAATAGCAAGAAATCTTCAATTGCACAGTATTGCGCAATAGCAAGAAATCTTCAATTGCACAGTATTGCGCAATAGCAAGAAATATCAAATAGCACAATATTGCGCAATAGCAAGAAATTGTCAATTGTACAGTATTGCACAATAGCAAGAAATATTTAATTGCACAGTATTGTGCAAAAGAAGATACTTCGTATAAATTGCTTATTTCTTGACCAATTTCAATGGGGTTTTATTCTTGAATTTTTGGGGTTCTTTAATATGCTGAATCTAACCGTGTATTTGGATTTTGGGCCCCGTTTTTAAATTGGTCCACATTGAGGTCCAAAGGGTCCAAAATTAAACTTTGTTTGATTTCATCAAAAATTGAATTATTGGGGTTCTTTGATATGCCGAATCTAACCGTGTATTTAGATTCTTAATTTTTGGTTCCGTTTTCAAATTGGTCTACATTAATGTCCAAAGGGTCCAAAATTAAACTTAGTTTGATTTTAACAAAAATTGAATTCTTAGGGTTCTTTGATATGCTGAATCTAAACATGTATTTAGATTTTTGATTATGGGCCCAGTTTTCAAGTTGGTCCAAATCGAGGTCCAAAATTAAACTTTGTTTGATTTCAACAAAAATTGAATATATGGGGTTCTTTGATATGCTGAATCTAACCATGTATTTAGATTTTTGATTTTTGGGCCCCGTTATCAACTTTGTCCACATTGAGGTCAAAAGGGTCCAAAATTAAACTTTGTTTGATTTCATCAAAAATTGAATTCTTGGGGTTCTTTGATATGCTGAATCTAACCATGTATTTAGATTTTGGATATTGGACCATAATAGGTGAATGTCCAATTTAAAATTTTTAAGATCTAAGACCACATTCATTCTGTGTCAGAAACCTATGCTGTGTCAAATATTTAATCACAATCCAAATGCAAAGCTGTATCAAGCTTGAATGTTGTATCCATACTTGCCCCAACTGTTCAGGGTTCGACCTCTGCGGTCGTATCAAGCTGCGCCCTGCGGAGCATTTTATTTGTTATTATTTTGAATATTATTATAGATATATATAAACTGTAAGCAGCAATAATGTTCAGCAAAGTAAGATCTACAAAAAAGTTATTATGACCATAATTGTCAATTGACCCCTTAAGGAGTAATTGCCCTTTAAAGACAATTTTACACAATTTGTTCATCAAGTTTGCTAACATTTAAAAATCTTCTCCTCTAAAACTACTGGGCCAATTACCTTCAAATTTTAACTAAATGTTCCTTAGGGTATCTTGTTTATAAATTGTATCTGAAGTTTGTATCCATCGACAAACATGGCCGCCATGGCTAAAAATAGAACATAAGGGTCAAATGCAGTTTTTGGCTTATATCTCAAAAACTAAATCTTTTAGAGGAAATGTGACAGGGGTAAAATTGTTTAATTGGTCAAGATCTATCAGCCCTGAAATTTTCAGACGAATCGAACAATCCATTGTTGGGTTGCTGCCACCTAATTGGTAGTTTTAACAAAATTTTGGAGTTTTTTGTTATTATTTTGAATATTATTCTAGATATTTATAAACTGTAAGCAGCAATAATGTTCAGCAAAGTAAGATCTACAAAAAAGTTAATATGACCATAATTGTCAATTGACCCCTTAAGGAGTTATTGCCCTTTAAAGACAATTTTACACAATTTGTTCATCAAGTTTGCTAACATTTATATGTAATTAAAAATCTTCTCCTCTGAAATACAGGTGAGTGATTCAGGCTCTTGAGAGCCTCTTGTTTTGTAATTTATGTGTGCATAATATATTTCTCTGTTAAGCTCTTGAGATAAAAGTTTGAACCTTGATTAAAAAATTTGAACAAACCAAAAAGAAAATTGTATAGGCATGGTTTGACCTCTCAAAACTTGAGAATTTAAAGGATTTAGAAAAAATATACTTGTATAAGTAAATTTTTGGAAAAGATGAAAGGGGGGTAATTTAAACCTTGATAGGAAAATTAAAATAATACAAATTTACTCATACAAGTAAATATTACATTCATCTTCAAGTAAATAAACATGACTTGTGTAATTATTACCCCTGACTGACAAAAGAAACCAAAAAATATCCAAAACATACATAGCTAGATATTTCCTACGTATACCACAACCACATAATACCATTGCCATTTCCTACCATACATTTTGAGACCCCCTTACAGGTGACATTTCAATCTTAAATAGATACAATACTTGAATAGATATCTTGCAACAACTTATGCTTTGAATAAAAAATTTGTATTTCACTTGAAAGAAATAATTTAATGAACATGATGAACAAGTAATTGTTTACATGTGTGGATGTACATGTCAGATTGGCTGGATTACAACTCTGATGATTCTTTGATTAATAAGACTTACTGTCTTTTGTAATTTTGACAGGACAAAAGGCTTTTTATATGTAAAAAACTAATTTCAATTCTACATGTGTATTTTCAGTGGAGGAGCAGAACTTTTGTTTGATAACCAGAAGAAACATGAAGTGGTATTACCCGAAAATTCAAATCCATGTAAGTTGCATGTTTGTTAATACATGTAGACAGAAAGTCTCAATTTATACATGAATTAAAGTTTGTCTGGACATTTAGCAACAAAACGTAGAATTATTTGATTCATGATTAAAAACCAATACTGTATAGTCCTCTAAAAAAGGCCAGACATAACAAAATGTGGAACATTTAAAAAAAAAAAAAATATATGATAAAACAATTTTAAAGCATTTAAAGACAACCACTGAATAAAAGGCTCCTGTCATTGAACAGGCACATAAAGAATAAGGCAGGAAATTTGGCCTAACACTGGAGAATGAGGGTATGTTGGACAAGGTAAGGAATTTGGCCTTGCAACAGGTCACCTATGGACTTCTCATTGGGTTGTTGCAGGGTTCTTTAACGTGCACTCTTTCTTCTCAAGGCATCAGATTTTAATGTTCCCATTACAACAGAACTAAGACCTAATAACAGGAGCCTAATACCTTTGTAAAAAATGATTTTCCACTTTATCTTTTCAGAAATCACACTTTTATTATATTTATTGTAAAAAAATATATAGCTATGTACACAAATGAATTATCAAAATTAAGTGACAACATACATTTGTACAATGTAAAGTCTCATGAAATTATATTAACAGGGACTATTAAAACACTTCTTCCATGGGTTAGAGACAATTTGCTGAAAGAAAGGCCAGAACTTTTTATGCAAGGAGAAACTGTGTAAGTTATATTTGTACACGTGTCAGCTCAAAATCTAGAGGGACAAATGGGATATACCTTTTATTGTTAATTCACGGTATCCAAAAGGACATTTAGGAAATATATCATCAGCACTTTGTGTCCTTAATTTGTTTACCTTTTTCAATCTCTAAAACCAGTGTAACCAAGTTTAGCCCACTTAATCCTTTGGGTGTCTAGTTTCAATATGGTATATCATGTTCCTACTAAAATACATATGTAGCAACATGACTTTAGCAGTCAGGGGTCTTATTGAAATAAGTGATTTTTAAATCACTTATTTAAGTAGCAAATTTCGAAGTTTTGTCACAAATTGTGATTTTGTTGTTTTACCAAAATTTTAAACACATAGGTTTAGATAATATCTTTTCATTAGTAAAACTGAAAAAATGAACTTTTTGCTTCTTTTAAGCAGCAAGGTTTATGCCTTTGATGCAATCATTTAGCTGCAAATTCTATTTTAGTTAAAAAAATGCTATAAAAATGGCTTTACATTATAATGAACTGATACTTTCTTAACACATTTTTCCCAGCAGTGGGAGTATTTTTCCTGTAAAATTCAAGGTTTCATCTTATAGATTATGTAATAAAATTCTACTGTTCGCGATCAAAATTTCACTGTTCGGGGGTGTTGAAATTAGTGGGGGTTATTAAAATAATGATACTTAAAGAAGTGATTTTTTGGAAGGAAATTGAGGTATGATACTTAAACAAGTGATTTTTATTTCATTATCCTAGATTTAGTACAAGGTCATCACCTGACATGAGAAAATCACTCATTTAAGTAAGTCCCCTGACTGTTTAGTCAAAATAGTAAGAATATAAAAGTCAGTGGCGTAGCTATATGTACATGTAAGATAAAACACACGTCCTTGCACATCATAATACCCTTCAAAAATAGCATCATAATTTTCATAATAGATAATTATATTATAATGTTTTTTTTTATTTACTTAAATAGATCAGTTCACTAGCGTTTTTTTTATGGACTCTTGAATTGGTTTTCAATGCTCTTCAACTTCGTAATTCATTTGGCCTTCCAGCTGTTTTGATTTCAAGCTCCACTGATAAGTCATTTAAAGAAGGAATACATTTCTGGTTGTTATGTTTTCTGCTATTCTTGAGACTTTTAACATGTTTAAAGCTTGGTTTTATATACCCTTTAAATCTTTAAAGGGGCATTAGCTACAAGATATAAAAAAAATAGAATATGATTTTTTTGTTGTTCAATCATTGATGAAAGTGAAATAGTGAAATAATAATTCACTTTTAGCAGCCAGTTTGGTTCAATTTGATCAAAATAAGCTAAGAAACATCACTGATGAATTATGAAGGTAATTCGACCTTATTGAATCCGTATTCATGTAACCTTCAATTTAACCCCATATCTAGAGATAGGATATGCATAAGCTAGGCATGTTCAGCTATTAAAAGGACTAGAATGTCAACATTGAAAGTGAAATAAGGGTAAACCATTTGGTTGACTGATTCGATCTACAAAAACTCATTCTTATACATGTAAAAACGAAGATTAACATATTTTTTAACCTATAATATGAAATCAAGCAGACCTAGAAAAATCCAATTGCACATGTTCGCTATCTATTTATATCTATATTTATGTTTATAGTGGGTTATATGACTGTCAGCAGTCACTTAGATGATTAATTAGATGGCGTCTAGACTAAAATACACATGAAATGCTGATACATATTATTGATTCCATGCATAGTAAATTGTTTATTTAAGACTTTTTTATAATTTGGATATACGTTTTAGTATGTTATATAAATCAAATATGAGAATTTGAGGCAAAACGGTGAACATGAATTTGACAGCTAATGCCCCTTTAAGAAAATTGCAATCCCAATCACAAAATATCTACAGAAGTTTTTATTTACAGGCGCCCTGGTATATTGGTTCTAGTAAATGATGCAGATTGGGAATTAATGGTATGTTTTATTATTATATATTCTATCTACATGAAAATATATATATGTACTGTGAACACGTTTTGAATATCCAATACCCCTTATACATTTATAGCAGCAACAAATGTTTAATAATTATTATTATATAAAAATAAGGAAATGTGGTATGGTTACCAATGGGACAATTATCCACCAGAGTTCAAATGAAGTGAATGTACGCAATTATAGGCAACTGTAGGCCTTCATCAATGAGAAAAACCCATACCGTATAGTCAGCTATAAATGTCCCCGACATGAAAAATGTGAAACAATTAAATTGAGAAAACCAATGGCCTAATTTATATCAAAACAAATGCGACAGACATGAACCAACGACAACCACTGAACTACTTTCATGGTAGCCATGTGAAATGTACTGTTGTAATGTATTATTGTAAGATTTTCTTTTTTTTTCTGAAATTGCAATGCCAAAAGCAGTGGATCAGAGTGTTCTGCTAATATAAAAGAATATTGTGGATTCATTTATTTTTTGTGGGTACCAATTTTCATGAATTGAGGAAAAATTAGTATATTCGTGGATATTTGAATTTGTGGTTTGGCAGTAGTCTGCATTCAAGTCTTTAACAAATTAAAACTTCGGTGAACATTTAAATTTGTGGTTTACACATGCATTTACTCGCGAAAATTAGTATTCCAAGAATAATAATGAATCCACAGTAGTTTATTTTTCTTGGCTGCCTATAATTTTGAAGAGATTTTTTTCCCTCTTTGCCACTAATCATTCCTTGCATATACGTCTAACTAATGTTCTTAATTGAAATCTTAAATAGATATTCAATACATAAAATATCTTGAAATAAATATATATATTCTAAGAATATTAGACTATCAACCAGTTACTTCTTTGAATTGATGATATAAAACATTTGGGAACCATGTGTTATGTATGACGTAGAAAAATAAATGTATTATTATCTTTCTGTTTATATTAAATTTGTACAGTTTTCATCTTGATATTTAAAATATTTGTAGGAGTCACCAATGTTATAGAAAATGTAATACACATACCGGTACATATATCTATCCTTGTATTCACATAGTTTACCTGTTTAATAAGATTTATAAATATTTCAATAAGTAACTTTTAATTAATAGAAACTAGGTATCATTGTACACTTCAGTGAAATTAGAAACAAATTAACATATTTTTATGCCCCCACTGTAAGGTGAAGGGAGCATTAAGTGTTACCCTTGACCAACCATCCATCTGTCTATCTGTTTTTCCTTCCGTCCCAAAAGTATTTTCACATATTGTAAGCAAGCTTGAGCGGGGACAATTCTTATCCTCAGACACATTTTTCTTTTATTTTGGTTATAAGAAACAGTATAAAAAAGAAAACAGCACGTTTGAAGGACTATCTATTAATTATGTATCTTATGATAACGAGTGTCATGGCATTAGCGCATAAGCATGAATATAGAGAACTATTAAAAAGTAGAAGCCATGATTTGTTTCTTTACATGTTTTATTCCACTTCATTGTTTTATATTGTTTGGTTACAGGGGGAGTTGGATTACAGTTTACAGCCAAATGATAGGATCGTGTTTATATCTACATTACATGGAGGATGATTTTCTCAATGACAGATGAATTTACTTAATAAGATTGCTATATTAGGTGTATGGAATGCTTTGGAAATATCCTATGTTAGGAATGATTAGAATATGACACTCTATTATTTTACATGGGATTTGTAAGAAGCTACCAAGTAAAACAATTTAGATTCTTCTAAACAATTTGTGATATATAATTAACCAATATCTGAATTAAAATTCGAATTGAAATATAATTTCTTCTTTTTTATGTAATTATTACTTCTAGCATAGTGTGTTTTTCTTGTCTTGCCTGCAATGAAAGTTACAGAATGTGAGTCATAGGGATGTTGATCTGGCAACAATAGTGTATTTGTCTAAAGCTTTATATTTATGAGGGTAGAAGACCTAGATAATTCATACCTTGCCTACAGATGCCTCTGTTCCGAACTTTAGTTCTGACATATGTCAATTGTCCATTAACCTTGACCTCATTTTCACAGTTCAGTCACTGTATAGTTTTTTATCATGGGAATTTCTCTCATTATGAGTACCAGGTTAAAAGATAACTTTATTTGGTATATGGGATTCTTACAAGGTCGATATGTCTTTCAAGCAGGGTTCACCTGACCTTGACATCATTTCATGAATCAGTAATCAAGATTAAGTTTTTAAGGTCAAGTCCATATCTCAAATACTTTGAGCATAGATCAACTATATTTGGTGTATGGAATGATTGTATTCTAAGTTGCACATTTTTGTTTGGCAAGAGTTTCTCTGACCTTGACCTCTTTTAATGGGTCAATGTGAAGTTTTTTTATGTTAGGTCCTTTTCTGAGACAAGCAATAAGTCTTCTATATTTGGTGTATTGAATGTTTGCAAAATGTACATATCACCCCTGGACCTCTCTTACATAGATCATTAATAATGTTAGATTTATGTGATACTTGTAGAACAATGTAAAACCTCTATCTTAAAGACTTTCAAAATAAATTCAATTATGATCTGACGACAGTAAAGCATGTGAGACATTTCAGAGTGTTAGCAAATGAACTCTGTCTGCTTTAAGCATTTTGAAATAACTATCTTCTATTATTATATACTAAATCAATTGAATTTTTAACAGTTTTACAAAACAGAAGGCCTGATCGAGGTGAATTAAATCAAGTGTTGCGTCAGGGAACTCAGATTAATTGCTATTGAGAACCAATTTTCGGTGATTATTTTGTAGCCATCTTTTAAGCAGTGTGATTCCATCAGACATATGATATAGATATTTGACTAATATTGAAAACCATATGTTGAAATTCAGATGTATTTTCTGTTTGAATTTCCCATCAGCTGATGGCAACAGCAACCTATGGCGGTAATCACCTTTGACAAAAACTGACAGCAAAACAACAATGGATATGTAATAAACTATTATGACATCTGTATACCAAATCTGTTGGATGTGTACTGATTGCTATATTTGTCTGGGAAAACTTGGTTTATAAATGATTTGAAATTGGGCTTTGCACTTTATTTCAGTAAGTATGAGTACTCTTAAAAGTCTTAGATCTAAGTGGTTGTTATTGGATGCTGTCTGCAATTCTTGTTATTTTTAGCTCACCTGGCCAAAAGGGCCAAGTGAACTTTTCTCATCACTTGGCGTCTGTCGTCATCGTCCGTTAACTTTTACAAAAATCTTCTCCTCTGAAACTACTTGACCAAATTTAACCAAACTTGGCCACAATCATCATTGGGGTATCTAGATTAAACTAGAGGCTCTAAAGAGCCTGTGTCGCTCACCTTGGTCTATGTGAATATTAAACAAAGGACGCAGATGGATTCATGACAAAATTGTGTTTTGGTGATGGTGATGTGTTTGTACATCTTATTTACTGAACATTTTTCCTGCTTACAATTATCTCTATCTATAATTAACTTGGCCCAGTAGTTTCAGAGGAGAAGATTTTTGTAAAAGATTACTAAGATTTACGAAAAAATGGTTAAAAATTGACTATAAAGGGCAATAACTCCTAAAGGGGTCAACTGACAATTTCGGTCATGTTGACTTATTTGTAGATCTTACTTTGCCGACATTTATTGTTTTTTACAGTTTATCTCTATCTATAATAATATTCAAGATAATAACCAAAAACAGCAAAATCACCTTAAAATTACCAATTCAGGGGCAGCAACCCAACAACGGGTTGTCCGATTCATCTGAAAATTTCAGGGCAGATAGATCTTGACCTGATAAACAATTTTACTTCATGTCAGATTTGCTTTAAATGCTTTGGTTTTTGAGTTAAAAGCCAAAAACTGAATTTTACCCCTATGTTCTATTTTTAGCCGTGGCGGCCATCTTGGTTGGTTGACCAGGTCACGCCACACATTTTCAAAACAAGATAACCAAATGATGATTGTGGCCAAGTTTGGTTTAATTTGGCCCAGTTGTTTCAGAGGAGAAGATTTTTGTAAAAGATTACTAAGATTTACGAAAAATGGTTAAAAATTGACTATAAAGGGCAATTACTCCTAAAGGGGTCAACTAACCATTTCGGTTATATTGACTTATTTGTAAATCTTACTTTGCTGAACATTATTGCTGTTTACAGTTTATCTCTATCTATAATAATATTCAAGATAATAACCAAAAACAGCAAAATTTCCTTAAAATTACCAATTCAGGGGCAGCAACCCAATAACGGGTTGTCCGATTCATCTGAAAATTTCAGGGCAGATAGATCTTGACCTGATAAACAATTTTACTTCATGTCAGATTTGCTTTAAATGCTTTGGTTTTTGAGTTAAAAGCCAAAAACTGAATTTTACCCCTATGTTCTATTTTTAGCTGTGGCGGCCATCTTGGTTGGTTGACCAGGTCACGCCACACATTTTTAAAACTAGATAACCAAATGATGATTGTGGCCAAGTTTGGTTTAATTTGGCCACGGAGTTTCAGAGGAGAAGATTTTTGTAAAAGATTACTAAGATTTACGAAAAATTGTTAAAAATTGACTATAAAGGGCAATAACTCCTAAAGGGGTCAACTGACCATTTCAGTCATGTTGACTTATTTGTTAATCTTACTTTGCTGAACATTATTGCTGTTTACAGTTTATCTCTATCTATAATAATATTCAAGATAATAACCAAAAACAGCAAAATTTCCTTAAAATTACCAATTCAGGGGCAGCAACCCAACAACAGGTTGTTCGATTCATCTGAAAATTTCAGGGCAGATAGATCTTGACCTGATAAACAATTTTACTTCGTGTCAGATTTGCTTTAAATGCTTTGGTTTTTGAGTTATAAGCCAAAAACTGCATTTTACCCCTATGTTTTATTTTTAGCTGTGGCGGCCATCTTGGTTGGTTGGCCGGGTCACGCCACACATTTTTAAAACTAGATACCCCAATGATGATTGTGGCCAAGTTTGGTTAAATTTGGCCCAGTAGTTTCAGAGGAGAAGATTTTTGTAAAAGATTACTAAGATTTACGAAAAATGGTTAAAAATTGACTATAAAGGGCAATTACTCCTAAAGGGGTCAACTGACCATTTCGGTTATATTGACTTATTTGTAAATCTTACTTTGCTGAACATTATTGCTGTTTACAGTTTATCTCTATCTATAATAATATTCAAGATAATAACCAAAAACAGCAAAATTTCCTTAAAATTACCAATTCAGGGGCAGCAACCCAATAACGGGTTGTCCGATTCATCTGAAAATTTCAGGGCAGATAGATCTTGACCTGATGAACAATTTTACCCCATGTCAGATTTGCTCTTTATGCTTTGGTTTTTGAGTTATAAGCTAAAAACTGCATTTTACCCCTATGTTCTATTTTTAGCCGTGGCGGCCATCTTGGTTGGTTGACCGGGTCACGCCACACATTTTTTAAACTAGATACCCCAATGATGATTGTGGCCAAGTTTGATTAAATTTGGCCCAGTAGTTTCAGAGGAGAAGATTTTTGTAAAAGTTTACGGACGACGGACGACGGACGACGGACGCAGGACGACGGACGACGGACGCAAAGTGATGAGAAAAGCTCACTTGACCTTTCAGGTCAGGTGAGCTAAAAATGTGTCCGATAACCCCACCTGCCAACCAAGATGGCTAAAAATAGAAACTAGAGGCTCTAAAGAGCCTGTGTCGCTCACCTTGGTCTATGTGAATATTAAACAAAGGACGCAGATGGATTCATGACAAAATTGTGTTTTGGTGATGGTGATGTGTTTGTACATCTTAATTTACTGAACATTTTTCCTGCTTACAATTATCTCTATCTATAATTAACTTGGCCCAGTAGTTTCAGAGGAGAAGATTTTTGTAAAAGATTACTAAGATTTAAGAAAAAATGGTTAAAAATTGACTATAAAGGGCAATAACTCCTAAAGGGGTCAACTGACAATTTCGGTCATGTTGACTTATTTGTAGATCTTACTTTGCCGACATTTATTGTTTTTTACAGTTTATCTCTATCTATAATAATATTCAAGATAATTACCAAAAACAGCAAAATTACCTTAAAATTACCAATTCAGGGGCAGCAACCCAACAACGGGTTGTCCGATTCATCTGAAAATTTCAGGGCAGATAGATCTTGACCTGATAAACAATTTTACTTCATGTCAGATTTGCTTTAAATGCTTTGGTTTTTGAGTTAAAAGCCAAAAACTGAATTTTACCCCTATGTTCTATTTTTAGCCGTGGCGGCCATCTTGGTTGGTTGACCAGGTCACGCCACACATTTTTAAAACTAGATAACCAAATGATGATTGTGGCCAAGTTTGGTTTAATTTGGCCACGTAGTTTCAGAGGAGAAGATTTTTGTAAAAGATTAAGATTTACGAAAATTGTTAAAAATTGACTATAAAGGGCAATAACTCCTAAAGGGGTCAACTGACCATTTCAGTCATGTTGACTTATTTGTTAATCTTACTTTGCTGAACATTATTGCTGTTTACAGTTTATCTCTATCTATAATAATATTCAAGATAATAACCAAAAACAGCAAAATTTCCTTAAAATTACCAATTCAGGGGCAGCAACCCAACAACAGGTTGTTCGATTCATCTGAAAATTTCAGGGCAGATAGATCTTGACCTGATGAACAATTTTACTTCATGTCAGATTTGCTCTAAATGCTTTGGTTTTTGAGTTATAAGCCAAAACTGCATTTTACCCCTATGTTTTATTTTTAGCTGTGGCGGCCATCTTGGTTGGTTGGCTGGGTCACGCCACACATTTTTTAAACTAGATACCCCAATAATGATTGTGGCCAAGTTTGGTTTAATTTGGCCCAGTTGTTTCAGAGGAGAAGATTTTTGTAAAAGATTACTAAGATTTACGAAAAATGGTTAAAAATTGACTATAAAGGGCAATAACTCCTAAAGGGGCCAACTGACCATTTCGGTTATATTGACTTATTTGTAAATCTTACTTTGCTGAACATTATTGCTGTTTACAGTTTATCTCTATCTATAATAATATTCAAGATAATAACCAAAAACAGCAAAATTTCCTTAAAATTACCAATTCAGGGGCAGCAACCCAATAACGGGTTGTCAAATTCATCTGAAAATTTGAGGGCAGATAGATCTTGACCTGATGAACAATTTTACCCCATGTCAGATTTGCTCTAAATGCTTTGGTTTTTGAGTTATAAGCCAAAAACTGCATTTTACCCCTATGTTTTATTTTTAGCTGTGGCGGCCATCTTGGTTGGTTGGCCGGGTCACGCCACACATTTTTTAAACTAGATACCCCAATGATGATTGTGGCCAAGTTTGGTTAAATTTGGCCCAGTAGTTTCAGAGGAGAAGATTTTTGTAAAAGTTTACGGACGACGGACGACGGACGACGGACGACGGACGCAGGACGACGGACGACGGACGCAAAGTGATGAGAAAAGCTCACTTGACCTTTCAGGTCAGGTGAGCTAAAAAGGGGTAAAATGCAAGTTTTGTCTATTATTTTGGAAACCGTTATAAATAGGGAAAATCTGACTTGAGCCAAAATTTTCTACCAATTGTTCAAATACGTCACAACTGTCAAATGACTTCTTATAGGAGTTATTGCCTTTATTATTTTTTTTCATTTTTGCCTATTATCTTGAAAACTATAATAGATAGAGAGAAACTTTAATTTGCAAAAATGATCAGCAAGACAAGTTCTACAAATAAGTCTGCATGGTCAAAATCGTCAGTCGACTCCTTATTAGAGTTATTGCCCTTTGATGACAATTTTTATCATTTATTTTACTGCTTACATCTTAAAAATTATAATAGATAGATAGAAACTTAAATAAAGCAAAAATGATCAGCAAGACAAGACCTACAATTAAGAAAATATGGAGGAAATCGTCCAACGACTCCTTATTGGAGTTATTTCCCTTTAATGATGATTTTTTACCATTTTTTTGCGTTTTGCCTTATAGGATAAAAATTATAATAGATAAATAGACACTTTTAAATCACAACTAGACAAAGTGATGCCCCCGCACTCCACTCTGAAGTAACTGTATTATAACAAAGTCAATGTAGGACTTTCTTTGAGATATTATTGTGTCTGGGAGACACAAATAATGCCCCCGCAGATGCAAAGTGTTATTTTAAAATACACAAAGTTAAGCATGGGAGCACATAGGTCTATGGTTCACTGTAGGATGAGTTATCTGGAAATGTTATGCACCTCTTATGCAATTATATACTCCAAAAATGATAAACTATCTCCCAAAAGAGCAAATATTAATAAAAATCAAAACTCTGACCACATACACACCTTAAATATATGCACAAACAGCCAGCAAAGTGAAAACTTCCTAGCATTCAAACTGTAGGAGTAGTCATCTGGAATAACTATATTCCCATAATGGGACGGACGGAAAGACGGACAGACAGACAGGGGTAAAACAATATGCCCCCAACTTTTAGTTGTGGGGGCATAAAAATGATCAGCAAGGCAAGATCTACTAACAAGTCAAATTTTGCCTATATAAATGTAGACTCACTATTTATAGGAGTGATTGCCCTTAAATGAGGATTTTTATTACCCTCTTTTGTGTTTTGAGCAAAAACTAAAGAAGATAGAGAGAACTAAACAGACTAAATGATCCACAATATAAGATCAACAAAACAGAGATTTTTGTCATGAATTCTATTCTAGTCTACAACGTTGGAGAGTGTCCTTTGTTGAATATGCACAAAGACCAAGGTGAGCGACACAGGCTCTTTAGAGCCTCTAGTTGTTTATTGTTGTAGTATAATCAGGCCTCATTTGAATTGTTTATCAATTTTGCAAGTCAGAGGGCCCTTTTTTTTTTATCAAAACCCTAAGTATAATAGATAAAGATCACTGATATTGAGGATTTTCATTATTAATAAGACGATAACATTTGAATGACTGTTGTGCATTTTATTTCATAACAACTACTTTTGTTGTCAGTTAGAATCACTTCTTAGCTGAAAGTCCACTGGTAAAGAAAACTTATCTCTCCATCCATACACATTTTGAGATTTTTGAAATAGCAGAGCATCATTTAATTAATTCACTCTCCTAGTAGTTCCTTTTGTTTGGCTTCCATTAATTTTTCAGATTCGGCAGTCCTCTCTTGCTTAATGTCTAATATCTGAAAGATACGAGCACGAGACATATTAGATACTTGTATGCTAACATCAATTTTTAAATAATAAAATCATTTAATGCAGTTCACTAACTATGTGGTCAAAAGTAATATTTGGTCAGGTCGTTGTCTCTTTGAAACATTCCTCGTTTCCATTCTCAATTTTATTTGTGCTTTCAATCTATCTTCTTTACCAACTATTTGATTGCTGATATAGTTCTATTTGATAAATTTTTGTATCATATTTCATCTGACTAAAACCATGCCATTTTAAGTCAACTTTGTTCATTTTTTACATGTTTATGAATCACAGTGACCAGACTATATCATCCTTTTCATTTATTATGAGAATTTACATAATTTTGAAAGGTTTTTGAATTTTAGAAATTTTTGGAGTTAAATAATAGCTCTCATCATACCTCCCCCTATTATGTAGCTCTTTTTATTTTCAAACTGAAAGGGGCTAAAAAGGGTTTCCAAAATAGTCATATTATTCTGACTTGTCAATATTTTTTATAACATTGGTCTAGATAGAATTATGTTGAAACAAGCCAATGCCTAATACTTCATATGAACTAACAAGCTAATTAATACAGGACATGTACCAATCTTTTTGAAGTGGTTTCTAATGTTTAACTGATTTGCAACTGAATAATTTATGCAATAAATGATTTTGCTTTTGCAGTGCCTTAATTATTCATTCAATATCATTATGTTTATCTTAAGTATTTAATACTTGAAGAAAGAACGTGAGGATGCTTGACAAAAATGTACATGTATTTTCTTAAATTTGTCTTTTTCCAAAGCTTTAAAGAACACACTGTCAGTTGACAGAACCTATATCCAAGTATGAGGTAGTCATTTTCATAGAACCTATAACAAAGTATGAGGTTTTAGAAATAATACCTTGATCACAGGGTAGTTACCTTGATAGCACTGAATGACTTTAAAGCAAAACAGATTGAAAATGGAATACAAAATGTCGGGCTGGCTTAATTTGCTTTCTCAAAAACAAATTGTTTGTCTTTGAATGGTTTATGAAAATATGTTGATTTTTCCTTAGATGTTTCACAAAGTAGTACAAACTAAGCTCAAGCTGACTTGCTAAAGTCATATAATGCTGTGTTCATGAACTCTTTACTGTCTTTTCAGAATGTAAGAAACTTCACTTTTAATATGGGAAGAGTTTTTAAAAATTTGGGTAAACAATATTTGCAAATGACATTTGAGATTGTGACCAAAAAAAAATGTTGTGCCAGCAATGAGTTATTTCTTCATTTCAAAGTTTTATATTTCTATCAGGAAAATACAAACCATATTATTTAAATTCCTTATCAAATCTTCACTATGTGTTTTCTTCTTAGAATTTACAGTCTTTGTGTGTTTTGCATATAAACCATCCAGATGTGTCTTTGTTTGATTAAACATTTTTTTTGCATCCTTTGCTAATTTTTCTCTATGTTCCCTAGTTACCCTGAAAAAGAAAAAGAATATTCAAGGTAAAATTGTATGCAATTAAAAATATTAAAGAAACTACATACGACTAAACATACGAAAACCAATTTCAAGAAAAATTTCATGAAGCTCTTATCTCTGATTTGTACTTTCTAAGAAAAAAAGTCTTATTGCCCAATAATGATATCATTGTATATACATGCTTAATAAATAAAAATTAAATCAATACAGAAGAAATCGCTACCAGGCAGATAGTGCCCTTAAAACTCCTAGATTTGAAATAGAATATTCATAAACAGAAAATGAAATATACTTGCAAAAATTAAGACCTGAATTTCTATTATCAAACATGTCAAATAGAAGCCTTTAACTTACCTTGGAATAGGTACAAATATTGTGGTTTTTTCCATATATGGATTAACATTCATACCTGTCTCTGATAAAGATTTAAGAACTTGTTTGGTGTACTGGAAGAAATAGATATTAGTTATAAATTTAAAAAAAAAATCAATGTTGTGAATTAAGATTGCAAATTAAATATATATCTTTAGTTATGACATTGCTAAAGCAGAAATACAGTAATGAATATGCTTTGGTGTTAAACGCAATCGGAAAATTTCAAGACTTTATATTAGCATCATGAAGAAAGGGGACCATGGCAATTTAGTTTTTAATAAAGCATAAATTTGTCATGTTATCTTGCATGCTGTATGGAGGCCGTAAAAGTTTCCTTTTTTCTAAATCTTTATTCTCATATTTGACAGTTATGTCATATTTATTCTTGAGATAACTTCTGTCATGTCTGTTAATTATACTTCTTCAGTTTTTTTTTCAGCCGGTATGTTTTATCAAAATTGTTATGCAGTCCATCTGAATTATTTCCCTTTTCATATATTATTCCCTACCAAGTTATCTTACAAATATGATGATGTGTTCTATGTTTATTGCAAAGTTTGTATTGTTTTAGTATTTTGCTATGTGGTTGTTGGACAATAAGATTTCTTTGCCTGTCATAGTTCATAAAATGTAGAAATAAAACGTTTTCCTCAATGTTCAAATATAGAGTGACCAACTTTAAATCAGTGCTGGAGTCGGTTTTGAATTTACAGTATTGAGTAAGGTGTGAGTTTTTGCAGCATGTTGAAGCCATTGCTTGAAGATGAAAAACAGCAATAAAAGTGGTTTTCTTTTTTCATTAGGATTGCTGCCCTAATTCTCTTCAGAAAGGGAATTTGAAGAGTGATTATAATACACTTTGGAGCTGAAGTGTTGTAAAAAGCAAGTTACTGTACATGTTTGTTCCTCAGGCTCAGATATATTATTGGGTGATTGCTCCAGAGATCAGTCAGATTAGCCAGGGAACAGAGAACTTTTTTTTCTTAAATTGTTAACAGTTTTACTACAAAACCCCAAAGACTATTCATGGTAAATATATAACACTCAGGGTTCTTGGAACCCATGTTTAATTTTTTTTACTGTTAGATGTGTCCAATTAAAATGCTATAGAGGGTGGTAATGACTTCAATAGTGTCTTTTGCAGCTACTATGAGAATGATTTTTTTTGTATTATCAATTGAAACATTTACACACAACATATTACAATAAATATGTAACCAAACCTTTAAGTAATTGTTCCTGAATTACCATCAGTTTTCCTTACCTGAGGTGATGATGACATATTAACCATTATAAGTTGTGGACTCTTCTTCTCTATCTGGGCTAATTGACTTAACTTGAATCTTCCATCATCAGTATGCACTACAACTCTTTCAAACGCTCCTGAAAAGAGTTTTTTTTTGTTAAGTAATGGAATACAATTTTTTTTTCAGATTGTATTTTGAATTCAAAAATTAAAATAATTTCGTTTAGTCCTCACTCAGTTTTCTGGCAAGGATATATTTTTGATATATTACATGCATCTTTTTTCCATATTTTAAAAGAATAACAAGAATGTGTCCAATTGTCCATAGTACACAGATGCCCCACTCGCACTATCATTTTCTATGTTCAGTGGACCGTGAAATTGGGGTCAAATCTCTAATTTGGCATTAAAATTAGAAAGATCATATAATAGGGAACATGTGTACTAAGTTTCAAGTTGTTCACCTGTTGTAGTCCTTATATTCAAAACATGAAGATAGTCATCCTTTAATTTGTCCACAACATCTTGCATACTTTGTTTCACTGAGTCTAAATTTAAAATGTCTCCAATTTCATTTTGAGTCAGTTGTACTTTTACTACTTTAGATGATATTTTTCCTGAAAAAAATGAGTAAATTAATTAGTTTGTATCTGGGATAGGTATGCAAGGTGTCTAAAAAGTCAGTTGAGAATATTTCTAAATCTTCCTGATATATGATCATGATATCTTTTGAACTTTTTGTGTTGCTTAGATGTGGTCTCATTAACATATATATACCACCCCTCCTTTGTTTCATACATTTACATGAGGACTGTAAAATAGGAAACATTTAAAGCTGTTTAATATAAATATATATATAAGAAGCAATTTACAAGTCTAAATTGAAAACAACATTCAAACCTATGATTGCGTTGGATAAAAACAGCAATTTTTATACGTGTGCATGCAAAACAAATTTCTTGGAAGAGGGGTCTGAATACAGCACAAACAACATTTTCTAAAAGACCAAAAAAGTGAAAAAGTATATTTTAACAAAACGCATTTGACTAGCAGGTCGAACAATGGATGTTCTTAAACCCTGCTGACTGCCATTGGCAATTTACATATATATTTAATACTCTCTACAAATTTGTTTGCAATTAACACATACATTTTTATTTTCGGTTAATGATAAACACAACATTTTTTGTGACTTGTTTATCAACTTTTCAATTTTCTGTTAGATGAAGTAAAATGGCTGTTTCTATGGAAATACAGCAATCTAACTTGAAACTTACTACCCGTTTCAACAAGCTATTTTTTTTCTGAATTCCTGTGGCAAAAAAGCAATGTGGAATTTATGTTAATATGGATTATACACGACTTTTAAGGTTACATATATTATGTAATTAGTATGCTCAACACATCAAATTTTGTATACATTGTATTAATTATCAGTTCTACATGAACTTGATTACATTGTACTAGAATAAACGGATTATTGTAACAACACTTAAAATAATAAAATGTAACTCAAATTGATCTAGTCCGTAAAACAATATTCATTTTTTATACTAAATTAGTTATTGAACAATGAATACAATTTATGGCAAAATTTAAATATGTGATTGAAATTTGCCATACCAAAATTCAACTTCTACTGTTTTAATGAAAACCACCAAAATATCCTGTCACAAATATATCCTGATTTACGATCAAGTATTGGCTGTTGCTTATAGTTGGAGGTCTTACAAATGACTTTTAGTATTTCACTGTCTAGAGTGCAACTTCACTTCAACCACATTACTTTTACACAGAAAAGAGACATACATGTGTAAACCTCAGATCTGTGTACGGCCTCAAATCTGTGTCCGTTTCTCAAATCTGTGCCCCATCGTGACGTCAATCGCTAATCTATGTCTGTTAAAAAAGATATGGCCTCAAATCTGTGTCCTTTTTTCAAATTTGTTTTCAATCGTGACGTCATTGGCAAATCTATGTTCGTTAAAAAAGATACGGCCTCAAATCTGTGTTCTTTTCTTAAATCTTTTTATGCCAGTCTAATAAGTACGGCCTTATAGGATTTTTGTTTTATTAAGTCATTTCCCATTATTCAATGTTAAGTTGGGATGTGTTCTCCATGTGCGTGCTTGAAAATTTTACAAGTGTGTGTAATTATTGTATGATTCACATTTTATTGTAAAACTACAACATTTTCAAATTGTTTGCTTTTCTTGATCCAGTGTTTGTTCTGTAGTAATTATGGTTACTTCCCTTTACTCATTACTTCTTGATAACAAATACGAAAATGACATCTGTATATACAAGCAACTAAAGATACATGTACGACCTTCAACAATGAATTGAACCTTTTCTGTATCATAATCTGTAAACACATACACCTATTTACAAACTTTTTTTTTTTTTTTTTTTAATTTATCATATTTTATTGAAATCTGTACATTTGTAAGTGGAAAACATCAAGTACCAGTACCTTATCCCGGCCTCGCTAACATTAGTAAATAACATATTTATACAGCTGTTAGTTTTTGTTAGTACTATACATACAATTTTCCATACTTAAAAAAATTATGTACCATGTCAGTAATATCAATAAAGAAGCTTACCATTAAGATTATCAAACATATATTATAATTATCTAATATAACAAATGCACAGGTTATGAAAAATATATAATTTGTGTTGTTTTAGTAGTAAAATATAAAGATATATAAGATATTTCTGTAGATTTTTTTAATTCAAATAATGAAAAAAAACAAAAAAAAGAAAAATAAAAAATAATTGAAAGATAGATAATCAGATGAATTTCAAAGAAATTAAAAGTTGTTTTGTTTGTTTTGGTTATTTATTTGCACAGATGAATCATGTAGTTTTTTTCTCATATAAGAGACAATATATCATATGCAAATTCTATGTCTATTAATTTATGTACACATAAACAATGTAAAAAATAACTGATCATTCACTGAAAAGGATGGCAAAAGCATTCCAACTCTGGTCAAAAATATCTACTCTTTTATTTTTAACAGCAATTAATTTTTCAGTGCTGTTACCTGTATAAAGACTTTATTTTACTTTGCACTGCCTGCAATCTAATTAAAATTAAATCTCCGCACTTGCTCCTCGTTGTTTATATGTCGCGCGTGGGAGATCTAACAACAGCCGCTTGAGGGTCATGTCTAGGGTCAAATTTACTGTAGCCAATCAGCGAAGGTGCTACAAAGTGTTAGGGTATTGGACTGGCATAGGAGTCTTAGTAACGTCAAGAGGTCTTCCGAATGTATATAAACAAAAATGGCAGCCCCCATGCGAAAAACGTTTCGTAACATACAACTGTAATAATAGTTTGTATTATTGCCTTCCGAGGTTAAAATGGCATCAAGTGAAGTATGCACCCCCAAGGAAAATATCAGTATGAACAAACATTTGTGTTTTATGCGGTTTTTCTTTCATCCAGATAGAAATCTCCTCAACGGGAGAACGTGTTGAAAAAAAACTGTTCAAACTGAAACTTCAGCAGAACTCAGAGAGAATCGCAATAATTTCTAGTGTTGTTACTGGTTTTGAAGTAAACACCGAAGTAGACAATGACAATGGCGTCTGTATTAAATGTTTTAGAAAAGTCCAACAGTCAATCAAATTAAAGAAAGATGCATTAAAAATTCAAGAAGAACTAAGTGACTAACTTCGAGTGTCTTACCACCTGACCAATCAGAAAGATTAATTGCTAATAGATTTGTTAATCTGCAAGGTGGAACAAACAATAATATAAGCTTAGATGAATACTTGAGAGATGTTGAACAAGGATACAAAAGTAACATGTTCAGGACATCAGACAAAGGAAAGTATCCTTCAACACTCTAAAGAGTATCCTCACCTAGTTAATTTTGCAAGCCATTTTGATAACATTACCAATTTAACAGGAAAGAAGGGGTTCCACCATATACGGCATACCAAGCTGATGTTCAGAAAATTGCAAAAGACCTACTACAAGAAAATGTACTACATGTAACATATAAAACTTCAAGAATAATAACAATTAAGTGCAAGGAGCTAAAAAAAGACAAAAACCCATTTGACAGTGCATTTATAGGACTTCGTACATTGATTCATCGCCGTGACATCAACCAACAGTCCCCTTCCATCGCCTTCAAATCCACATATTTGAAAAATATTGCTTGGAATTAAATTATTGTGAATAAATTAAGTGTGCAGGTTTAATTTTCTCTTAAGTCATAACCTTAATTAGCTGGTACTTTTTTAGTCGTTTGTTGCTGATATTAAAGTGTCATAAGTCAATGAGACATCAACCCAACAAACAAAGTAATGAAATACTTTCAGTTTAGTTGCAAAATATCATGGTCATTTTGATCAGGCAGCATAACTACCTACAAAAACATGTTTATAAAAATGTGGCATGATTTCTAATGAGACAACTATTCAAAAGGGACCAACTTATTTTTCTGTATTAAAGTTCACAGTTCCACCTCTGACTTTGAGTAAAACATATAGCAAGCTGTACAAAGACCCGAAATGACTTTATGAAAACATCAAGCACGTTTGTACAAAACAACAATGAGATAAAAACCAAACTTTTACAGATTTGTTCACAAGGCGACCAGGCAGCATGCAGATATTTACCCTATATGTACATGTAAAGAGCTGTTGATAAAACTTATACAAGGTGGTGTTGGTTAAATGTGCTTTCCTGAGTGATGAAGTTATTAGTGCACATTATTTGGTTCAATTTCTATCTTAGTCAAATTAAACACAGTAACTTAATATAATAAAATGCTCTGCTGGGCCCAGCTTGATACGACTGCAGAGGTCGAACCCTGAACAGTTGGGGCAAGTATGGACACAACAGTCAAGCTTGATACAGCACTGAATTAGGATTGTGATTAAATATTTGACACAGCATAGGTTTCTGACACAGAATAAATGTGGTCTAAGAACTTATAAATTTTTAATTTACCTATTCAAACACAAGTTATTGACTGGAAACTACAAAAATGCTTGTTTTTTGGCCCCTTTTTTGTTCAAAATTCCTAAACATTTAGGAAAATTATCCCCAAACTCAAACCTTGCTTTTCCTTTGTGATATGGAACCTTGTAGTACAATTTCAGAAAGATCCATACACTTACACACAAGTTATTGTCATGAAACTAGAAAAATACTTGTTTTTTGCCCCTTTTTGGCCCTTAATTACTAAAATTTTGAGGCAATTACCCCCAAAATCAATCCCAGCCTTCCCTTTGTGATATGGAACCTTATGGTACAATGTCAGAGAGATCCATACACTAACACACAAGTAATGTCTGGAAGTTACAAAAATGCTTATTTTTGGCTCCTAATTCCTGAACTGTTGGTACCATAACCCCCAAAATCAATCCCCACCTTACTTTTGTGGTATTGAACCTTATGGTAAAATTTCATGGAGATCCATTTACTTAAACTAAAGTAAGAGTGTGAAAACCAATGTGTCTTCGGACGACGACGCCAGCGTCATACCAATATACGACCGCAAAATTATTTTGTGGTCATATAAAAAAGAAGATGTGGTATTAAGTCTATATTTGACTGTTTTCTTGATGAACACATTGGTCTTGAACAAAGTTGTAAGTAAGATATAGTCCCCCTTCATGTTATTGTCTTGAATATGCATGAAATATTTGCCACTGAAACTAAAGTGAAGAAATCAATAATCAATCAACCTGTCAATGTGTATTTTGAGCAAAAATAATCATCCTCTATGTATACTGTTGGCTACACCAAGTTAAATACAATGAGTTTGCTATATAGAACAAATATAACATCATCAAGAACAATGAACAAAAGGTCAAAGTCATACATATGAACCATGCCAAAACTTAGCACAAAAGGACATACATCAATAGCAATAATTCTATACACCAAAGATAGTTGACTTGTTGATCAATAAACCATGAAAAGTCAAGGTCAGAAACCAACCAGAGTGATTTTTATAGTTCGTTCCTGTGTTGTACTGTTAAACCACTGTCCAAGGTTAGGATCCTGCTAACATGTTTAACCCCGCCACATTCTGTATGTATGTGCCTGTCCTAAATCAGGAGCCTTAGGTAATTCAGTGGTTGTCGTTTGTTTATGTGTTACATATTTGTTTTTCGTTCATTTTTTGTACATAAATTAGGCCATTAGTTTTCTTGTTTGAATTGTTTTACATTTGTCATTTCAGGGCCTTTTATAGCTGACTATGCGGTATCGGCTTTGCTCATTGTTGAAGGCCGTACAGTGACCTATAGTTGTTACTTTCTGTGTCATTTGGTCTCTTGTGGAGAGTTGTCTAATCATGCTCATTGGCTATCATTCCACATCTTCTTTTTTATATAATATGGACATCTTACAATAATTCCACACCAAATATATTTTTTTGTTTGTTTATCATGTTTATAGTAATCGAGATGCAGACTTGACCCCGAATATATGCTTGTTTCATGAAATGAGGTCAAGATTAGGCGAATCTGCAACCATATCTGACAGACATGACAGACATGGCAGACATGGTTTTCTCTTTTGAATTTTTTCATATTTTTCTGGTCGGGGCCTTTTGTAGCCGACTAAAGGCATGGGTTTTTCTCGTTGTACTACAATTGCTTATATCAAGTTATTGAAAAGTCTGGAGGGTAATTGTCTGATTGGCAATCATACCGCATCTCTTTATTTTTAAGATGAAAACAAGTAAATATCTTATGATGTGTGTCAATCAGTTACTGTCTCATTTGTTTTTATACGCTACATCTCTTTTTAGTCACATTGACAGCTGCAGGCATGACATGAACCCAGATCTAGAGTGGCACAATCAATACAGCAATTGTAAGGGGGTTAAAAGTCAAAAAAATTTGAAGAGTCTAAAGTTGAATAAGTTACAGAAACCAGATACTGAAAAATTAAATAAATAAATATCAACTGTTTGAATCATCTTGTATTTCTAATAAAGCCATATCAAGATCTTCGAAGTATTTATAGGCAGACAAATTGTAGTCTTCAGTATCGCTATCTGAAACAGCAGAATCTTCTTGCTCCTCGAGCTCCTCAACAACTTGTTCTGACAGAAATAACTTCTCAAGAGGTAACATATCACAGGATTCACAATTACAAGACTTAGTACACAAGTCACAGCATGAATGTTTCCTGCTTTCTTTCTTCATCAAATCATCCAAGTCTGAATTTCTGAGGAAATTACACATCAGATCCTTTCTCCTACAATCTTTAGCTCTAAGAATTGCCTTAACTTCCGGTTTCAACTTCTGCAAGTGGTATCCATTGTATAGGATATTGGCAACTGATGGATTTCCATCCCTCCCCACTCGCCCTATTTCTTGCAGCAAATCTACCAGATTATTTGGAGGTCCAAATAATACCACTCCACTACACTTTTTTACATCTAAACCCATTCCCAGGGCACTGGTTGACAAAATAAGTCTCAAAACACTACTTTCCTCCTTCAATGCATTAATTATGATGTTTTTGTTAACATCTGGAGTTTCAGAATGGAACATCTCAATATACTTGGCACAATGTGGCAATTCTGTTACAATGTATTTATAAAGTTTGGAAGTGTCATTTATCGATTAACAATACAAAAGTGTACATGGGAAGTCCTGACTTTTTTCCTCTAATGCATCTACTAACCATGTCATTCCCATTTCAATTTAATTTTTAATTTTGGAAGATACTAGTTTAATATTAGACTTGTTTGGTGATAAATTAATTTCTGTTGTGTCCTCCGCTAGCTGCAATATTTTCATGACCTTTTTTCCTAAAGCTTACAGTGCAAGTTGCACTTAAAGCCAATACTGTAGCATCGGAAAAGAGGGATCTTAGTTCACCTACATTTGAAAACCATTTTCGAAAAGCCTTTTTTTCTGTCTCCTTCATCTTGGCCCCTGAAAGAAAAATAGAAATAAGTACTTCTATAAAAACTTTTATAAAAGGTAAATAGCAGCACCTCTTGCCTAGATTGTTAATTCTTATGGCAAAACAAAATTAAATACATGTATGTGCTTGTCCATATTGTTATGTAACAGCCTATCATTCAGTGGTTGTTGTTGGTTGCTGTCTATCACATTTGTTTAGGGTTTTATTTTTCATACATTCTTATAATTACATTGTAATGGTTCATCATTTTGCAAATAGTGGTCTTAAAAGAGCTTACTTTTTAGTATTAGGTTATCTCGTTCTTGAAAGCTGTACAGTTCTGTACCAGTGGTCTTAATTTTTTATTTCTATATTTTTGAAAATCTAAATTCATAAAAATGGGAAGGGAGTACACATCAATATATAGAAACAATTCATCAAAGTTTCATGCAAATTAGTTGAATAGTTTTTGAGTTACTGACAGGTTGACGATTGACAGACAGTCACAGGTTAGGGGAGGGTTGGGATCCCGCTTACATGTTTAACCCTGCCACATTCTGTATAGTGCCTGTCCCAAGTCAGGAGCCTGTAATTCAGTAGTTGTCATTTGTTTATGTGTTACATACATTTGTATTTGTTTTTCGTTCATTTTTTATGCATAAATTAGGCCCTTTGTTTTCTCGTTTGAATTGTTTTACATTGTCATTTCGGGCCTTTATTTATATACATGTAGACAACGGTAATATGTCCTGTAAATGTGCGAATAGAAATGAACATGGGGAATAAACATTGTATCCACTTACCAAATTGCTATTGTGTGAAACTCATCAATTACAAACAACTTAATGTTCAACTTCTTTAAACAATAGGGATCACCAACCAATGTTTCTGGAGATGCAAGAATGACATCTATCAACCCCTCTTTGATTTGATCGTCACTCTGGGGAAGATGATCCTAAAATGCAAAAAAAAATGTAGGTGGGCAGTCTCCAAAAAGACATATTTCTATGATAACTTCTATAATTTAAATGTACACTGTACAAATTATTTGAAATACCCTTTCTCCATTTCACTGCGTTTGATTAAAGATTGAAATCCAATGAAATAATTCTTATTGTTGTAAAGTCCAATACAGAAATGAATATAGCTGAGATTTCAATGAATGCATGGCATATTTTCTCGATTTTGAGATGTTTCTGCCAATGTATCTGTTTGGCCATCCAACAAGGTCTTTTAGACTGCACTTTTTCATACTTTTTTTTATTTTTTCATTGTTTAACACAAACATGACAAATAACAATCTAATTTAAAAATTAAGTTTCCCGCACGTTTCTGAGCCACGTAAAGCTGATTATGCTGTATGATTTTGCTAATTGTTGAAGGTCAGATGGTGACCTATAGTTGTAAACTTTGTCATTTGTTGTCTGGTGGAGAGTTGAGTTGGCAATTTTACTTCAAGTCTTGTACATGTATGACATCTTCTTATTCTTATATGCATGTATATTTGTTTTGAGATAGATTATTAGTACATGTAATTAACAACAATTCCCTTGGACTCTGGCGCTTCATTAATACAACATGTAGTATGAAGAACTAGCATTATGGCCAAAACGACTGTAAAATACTGGCAATATGACCAATACAATCTGTTCTCGGTTAAATGAGACAAATTTATGTGCTACCATGGCTATGATCAACTGCTTCTGCAGTTTTTTTTAACTTTGCTCATGTATATTTAAGTTTCATATTACTGCTTTGTTACTGTTAGTCATGTGTATGTGTTGATATACTGAAGTTTAAATGTATGATCCTGCAAATAAATTTTATTTTATTTGATAAGGCATACATGTACATCTTTGCCTGGTCAGATGCGGATCCAGGACTATGGAAAAGAGGGCCCTGCATCTAGACACCATAAGGTGTGGGAATAACTTCTTAAGACATTTTTGTAAGATAGAGGCATTGCATTAATTATATAAGTAGCTCCAACAGCATAGGTGGATCCAGGGGGCCTAGGCCCCCCTTTTGTGGGAAAAATTTAGTTGATTATATAGGGAATCACTGAAGAATGACTGGAGCGGGCCCCCTCTTAGGTCAGTCAGTGGGCCCCCCTTACAAAAATTTCTTGATCCGCCATTGTACAGGGGGATAACATGTCACCCCCTAACTGATTTCTCATGTGTTATAAACATCTTTATTATACAACACTGCCAACATAATAATTATAATATAAATTAGGTGTTTAATGGCATTAAATACTATAGTATAGACTATTCCATTTATTGAAGCCTTACTACCACTGCATGCTTAAAGTTATACTAACCTTTGTATGCAGCAGTAATATTTCCAATGTGCGAGAGTTTTTCCACCTGGTCCAGCATCAGAGCTACTAAGGGAAAACAGACTAAAACTTTTCAGTCAGAACTGTTTTCAATAACCTCCCGGACAACTGGAAGGTACAGTTGAAACGGCAGTGACTTGCCAAAACCAGTCGGGAGTACAGCCACGCACTTCTTCTTGTTAACTAAACACTCTAAAATTTCCTTTTGCTCCTTCTTTATATCATTTATACCAAATTTTGTCAAAACGTTGTCCAAACTGGGCGCATCCATGTTATTTAACGATCCGATAATGGTATACAAGCCCGTCGCTGATTGGTTACCCGAAATTGATTTTCTGCACGCTGATTGGTCGGTCAAAGTTCACCAAATTTGACCCTAGACATGACCCTCAAGCGGCTGTTGTTAGATCTCCCACGCGCGACATATAAACAACGAGGAGCAAGTGCGGAGATTTAATTTTAATTAGATTGCACTGCCTGCAATGTTAAAGCTTTCTTAAAATATTTGAAGTTGAAAATATATTGTTTTATTTGCAAATAAATCAAATTTGCAGCATTCCCCCTAAATGATTTTGTAATATCCCCAAACAGAAAATGTTTTATGGTAAATGGAACACTTATTTACAAACTTTTTGTTCAATGTTTCAATGTATAGATACCACATAAAAATGTTTAGGGTATAATTTATTGCCGTTTTAACGACGACATTTTGTGCCACTATCTTATTAAAAAAGGTTTTTTCTGGTGACAATATTCCGGTTTCGAATCTATGTATCTTTTAAAATCCATTGTGTACCATGTTATCAACCACAACATAATTCAGTGTACAAATTAATGGCATAACGAGCATACATGTTACTTTATTAATGTGCCTTCAAGAATGAAACTACACATATTTTTTTTTTACTTGATTACGTCTTGCTATGTATTACGTCACTACATTTCGATAAAGGACATAGATTTGAGACAAAAATGGCCATACATTTCAGTTAATAAAGGACATAGATTTGAGACAATACAGGACATATATTTGAGACAATAAAAGACATAGATTTGAGACAATAAAGGACATAAATTTGGAACGTCTATGACGCAATATTAAAAAGGACATAGATTTGAGGCTTACATATGTATATAAAATGAAATAATACTGAAGAGGAATTTACCTTTCTTCTCCTTGCCAGCTTTCTTTGCATAACAACACACACTCCATGTCAGAGGTAAATTGACATTAACTGGAACATGTACAATATTGCTACTCTTCTTGTGGCTGCTTATCTTATTAAATATTCCAGTGTGGACTGTTACAAACTGTCTGGATTGTTGCAGTGAAAATAACAGTTCGTGAATACTTCTGCGGCAGCGAGTCAAGTTTCTCAGCGAGTTCATGGCAGTCCTGTTTATAAAGATAAAAGGATCTGTTATTAATTAACTTGATTTATTTAATGACGATTTTTACCATTTTTTTGCGTTTTTACCTAATATCTTACAAAAATCTTCTCCTCTAAAACTACTGGGCCAAATTTTACCAAACAATGCCAAACTTGGACACAATCATTATTGGGGTATATTCATATTGTTTCACAAATGTCTCGGTTTCTGGTGACCAATGCCTGCCAACCAACATGGCCAAAATGGCTAAAAATAGACGAAAGGAGTAAACATCAATTTTTGTCAATTATCTTTAACAGACAAACGGAAGTAATATAAAATTTGCAGATTGACCTTTCATGTCAGAGTCAGGTGCCACTTTGACAAACTATTTAAAGGCCCCAATACTACCCATTCTAGTTCAAACACAGGTTTGAGTACCAGAGATGCATGTGTGAAGGTTAAAAAAAAGTCAGCATGATACATTTGCCTCAGGTCCATGCACTTACGTAGGGTTTGTTTACCACAAAGTCTGTCCAGTGGCAAGTATTTCATGTATGATGAACCTTGAATACTCTTTATATCCCTGATGTTTATATATTATTAAAAGCTGTCATAACACAGGCATTTGTTTCTATCAATGGGAAAGTCAACTATCAAAGTATAAATGGAGCTACCTGTGTTACATAAAGCCCGTTTAATTTAAGCAAGTCCTAAACGTTGTTAGAACTTACATGTGCATGTGTATACGTTGTAGTATTCGTAGGGTTAGTTTTAGGTCATCAGACAGACCATCTAGAGATTTCCGAAGAACTACCCAGAAATCCCTCTCTTCCGGTAATGAATAATGGCTATACAGACGACATATATCACTGAAGAGCAATCCGGCCGTTCCTGACTGCAGGAACGACCATCCAAGGTATTTATCGGTATTAGGTTAATATCGGCAATCACAACATTGGCGCTGCGAGCACTAATTTGCGTGGTGATTTGCAATTTAGGGCTCATTTTGTGAGTTGAGGCGAGGTTCGCTTCAACAGAATTTCTCGCGGTAAAGGATTCGGGGGAAACCTTTGCCGATCGTTTTTTGTTGTGTAATACTCTGGGAGAGCATATTACATAACATCACAGGGGTTTTGCAGCGCGGTAGAACCCCTGTTTTTTGTGTAGTATTGAGTATTTGTTGTTTTTTCGTATTTTCAAGACGACTTGGATCACGTGACCTGGGAGGAACGGGTTACCAGTCGTTGTGTTGTTGTTTTGTTTACTTCTGTTATCCGCAGACCAGAAGGACGGGTTACCAGTCGTTGTGTTTTTGTTCTGTTTACCTCTGATAACTGCAGACCAGAAGGACGGGTTACCAGTCGTATTATTGTTCTGTTCGCTTCCGCTACTAACCGCAGACCAGAAGGACGGGTTACCCAAAGCGGAAGTATTTGTTATTCAATAAAATAAAATAAAATAAAAACATCTGTATTATTAAAAGTGTTGGTTGTTGTTGTTTATTGATAAATAAATAAACTTTGTTATCAATTGTTGTCAGTAATTTACAGTTACTCATGTCACTGGTAAACATTAACCAGTGCAGTTTTCAAGAGTTGCTCCAGCTCCCAGGTATAGGCATCAAAACTGGGGAGCAAATAATGGACATAAGGGATGGCAAGGGCTTTGTGACTGAGGCTGATTTAGCCACTATATCCCACCTAAGAATCACTATGGCCCTCATAGCTACGCTGGACTTCAGCACCAATGGGGGTGGCCAAAATATTGGGCCACCACCTGAGGCCCGAGGCAAACATCAATTAAAGATAAACACTATTATAGATGGGGGAGTGGTTGTCGCACCAGGCATGCCATGCCAAACACATGGCCAGTCTGTATTTAATCAAGAAAGATGGCACCAGGGGCAAAGTCCTGGGGCTTGGGGAAGGCCCAGCCAGATGGACTCTGCCTTCCTTGAGTATAGAACATATTCTGAGGAGGCCAGATCTAGGCCTGAGACCACAGCTAATTGGAGCGGGATTTAAGGGGAACAGTTGCCGCAAAAAGAGATGGGCCACCACAACGCTGGTGACCCAAACCAGGGTAACAACCCTCACCCCGAGGGTAGTAGTATTATTGGGTACAAGCCGTATTGGCCAGGCGAAGACCATGCGTGGGACAAGAGTGCCCCAACGAAAGGGGGCACACCTTCTTATCCCAGGGGTATTGCAAGCAATTATACTAGTCAGGGGTCAGCACCTGGTACCCAACCGGTGAACACCGGTGGGGGACTGTATGACACACCCCGTAGTAGTTATGGCATGTGGCAAGACAATAGGGGCAAGGACACAAGGCAGACTCCAGCCCATACCTATGGAGATAGACAACCCCTGGGTTGGTGTAATCAAGGGTACACACCCGTGCCCCCAGAAGGGGTCACCATAAGGGGGAGCTATGGGCAGCAGGCCTACCCAGTAGCATATAATGAGGATAGGCCTAGGGAAAATACAAGGGGACCCGACAGCAGAGGTGGGTCACGAGGAGTTTCAAGAAGCGCCTCAAAAATCAGCAACGCCCCGAAAAATATTAAGTATGAAGGGAAGAGCAACTGGCAGGCTTTCTTCACAAAATTTGCAAGGTATGCAGAGGTTTGTGAGTGGGGCCCACAAGAATGCAAAGATCAACTTTGCTGGTGCCTTGAGGGAAAGGCAAGTGAATATTATGCCCTCATTACGGAAAGAGACAGGGAGGTGAGTTATAGGGAGCTAGTTGAAAAACTGCACAAGCGTTTTGGTTTCAAGGCGCTCCCTGAGACTGCCCGGGTCCAGTTCAACAATGCCAGGCAAGCCCCTGAGGAGTCTCTTGAGGACTGGGCTGACCGTGTGTTGTCCTTGGCGACCAGGGCATTTAGTAACCTCCCTGATGAGTATATGTATGAGCAAGCCGTAACACAGCTGTGCCAGGGCATTGAAAACAAAAGAGTTGGGAGTGCAAGTCTCTAACCTCCAGCCCCAAAGTATTGAGGAAGCAGTAGATAAAATACGGCTATTCCAACATAACACCAAGGCAATATATGGCAAGCCAAATAGGCGTGAGGTCAGGCAGGTAATGGGTGGGCGGTATGAAGATCACCCTGAGGCCTTCCATGAGTATCAGGTGCCCCATGTAAGGGCTACCATGGCTCTTGAGAGGGCCCCAGACAGTGCATGGGAAGCGGAGTTTGAAAAGTCCAATAAGAAGTTTGACAAAAAACTTGGTCAGGTCCATGAAAAACTGGACGACATGATGGACCAATTTAAGAAACTCGTCACAAGCCCCATTGCAGGAAGCCCCTCACCGGGCAGACAGACAGGGGCGGAAGGTTACCACCACTGTGGGGAGAGGGGCCATTTAAAAACGGATTGTCCAAACTTGGGAGGTAAGTCCATCTCAGGAAGTCCCTCCACTCATAGAGGGCCTCCAAGGGGAGTGTGCTACCACTGTTTTAAGCCTGGACATGTAAGGAAGGACTGTCTAGATTTCCAGGGGAGGGATAAAACTGTTACCTTCATAAATCAGTCAAGCAGAACTGCAACTGGACCATTAAACTTCAACGGGACTACTCAGGAGGCCGGAGTGAGTCCCCGCAAATGAAGTTAGGCCTCTCAGAAGTTGCGTCTGTACCCCAAGCCAGAGTAGCGGAGGTAGCTATAGTGGGCCCAGGGGTAGGTGCCAGGGACAGGGAGGGGAACAGAGAACCGAGTGTGTTGGTGAAGGTTAGAGCAGAGATTGAGTCAGAGCAGTGCTCCAATTCTGACAAAGAGGCAACTCCTTCAGGCGGATTGGACTGCTACTTATTTAAATGTCTTGCGGACATATTGAGGCATGGTGCACTGGAGTTGGTCCAAAGCCTCCTCCCAGGTGGGTATTTGTTGGTGGAGGAAATCCTTAAAAGGCACCCAGGCTTTGCCGGGTACTCTTTACCGGATATTCATAAACTGATCAAGGTTGACGAGGACAGGAGGTTCACTTTAATAAAGGACACAGACAGTGGTTGTTGGAAAATAAGGGCCAACCAGGGGTATTCCTTGATGGTGGATACCCCAGCCATACCATTAGTAGAGAAATGTGAGGTGCCCCAAAGCAACTTAGTTGCTCCAGCATTGCTCACAGGGGACCTGGAGGGTCCAGTAGCCAATATTATGAGGGAACCCATAGGAGCTATCTTGGCAATTGAGAATAGCAGTAGCATTCACAAGGTTGCTGCCCAAACAGAGACAACTTTGGCAAGTGATGAGGAGGCCCAAGAAAGTTGGGACTCCACCTCAGACGATGAGGTAGAAGGGGCCAGTGATGAGAAGATAGTCACAGTTTGTCCGCAATACCAGGATTCGACATGTCCTACTCCTATTGTTGACGGAGGAATGACTGACAATACTGAAAACAGTCATACATCTCTCACTTTTGAGGACCCTTCCTCAGCGGGAGAAACTGACAGAAAGGCCGCAACTGAAAGCAACAGTCCGCTCAACAAAGAAAAAGTTATTACTGTAGAATCTTTATTAGACAAAGAATCTGCATACTTTAATCCAGACAATCCAAGTTTGAGTTTGGGGTCACTTTTGAAAGCAGATAATGTGGGCACTAATTATTTTTATCTGCAGCCGCCCCCAGTAGACAGTGGGACACCAGTCTTATGTGTGACCATTGCCACAGTTAGATTGGGTCCCACCAGAAGACAGTGGGACCCTGGAATTCCCTACCTTAACAAAGATATATTTACAGTGCAAGGGAGGAAAAATGAGACCAAACTCTTCACAATGGAGACGGGATCAGCACAACCTCCTGGGTCCAACTATATAGAAGACTTGCAGCCACTTAGTGTCCAGGGCATAGTTTGTATAAAGGAAGGGGAGAGTTGGCATACGATTCAGAGAACAATTCACAGTTGGCTGGGTTCCCAATTTGTTGGGAACCCATTGCACTAACTTTTTAGTGTATCAGTAGACCCGTGAATAGGGTCTGTTTGGGGGGTAGGTTGTATACTTTTTTGAAATTGTTGGGGGGATAGGGTGTATACTGTGTATTATAAATTGATGCATATTTTCTCTAAATTGGGTATGATTTCCGTATTTTGTTAATTTTTGGCGAAATTCACAGGGCCCATTTCAGTAGAATGGGCCTTATTAATAAAACTGGGGGGAGTGTAGTATTCGTAGGGTTAGTTTTAGGTCATCAGACAGACCATCTAGAGATTTCCGAAGAACTACCCAGAAATCCCTCTCTTCCGGTAATGAATAATGGCTATACAGACGACATATATCACTGAAGAGCAATCCGGCCGTTCCTGACTGCAGGAACGACCATCCAAGGTATCTATTGGTATTTAGATATACTCGGAATCACAACAACGTCATCATTTTCTGTGTAGCCTTCGGAAGCGTATTATTTTTGTTCTCGGATTTTATCAAACTGAACAACACTGCAGACAGCATCAAACGAAACTGGGTAGGTTCTCTTTTTAAACAGACATACATGAGATGTAAAAGTTCTTAATTAATAATTTGATGGAAAATGAATTAATAATGATAATGGTAAAATGAAAACTCTTAAAGTTATAAGATGTTCATTAATATTTTTAGGGCTAGGGTCAGAGTTTGTTTTAGGTTTATTAA